CGATCGTCATTTGTTTCACTGACTTTTTTTTGCGACGATCGTAATTTGTTTTATTTATAAAAATAAAAAAAAATAAATAAATAAAAAAAAACAAGGTGGAACCAAAATCTTGCCAAGTCCACGTCGTTGGTTCTGGGTAACGCTGAGAGCAGGATAGATAAAAAAATGAAATTATTATTTTCGAAAACTGACATGAGATTCGTATTCAGCGACCCCGAAAACCCCCGAGTAACAATTTTCAAGCGAATTCAGTTAATTTTTAACTCCAAGTCCGCCATATTGGATCCGCCATTTTAAATTTTTAAAAACTAATGTCAGATTCGTAATCAGCGACCCCGAAAATCCCCGAGTAACAATTTTCAAGCCAATTTAGTAAAAAGAAAAATGTGTGACTTAAAGGGTTAATAGCTTTTTTATACGTTTTTTTACATGTTTACCTAATGTCTACCTAATGTCCACTTAGTTAAGTAGACATTACGCAAATCGAATCCGCCAGGGTTTGTATAATTGGCTAAATTTTTTAGGTATGAATTTTCGAAATTTTGACTTTGTGAAAGTAGAACTTTTTTTAATAGCTTATATTTCTGAAAATATTTAATTTAGTAAAATCTTGTCAAAAAATAAGAATTTTAGTTTTTCTTAAACTTTTAAGAAAATTTTTTTTAAAATTTTTAATGAAAAAAAATTAATTTTTTATAAACAAGTTAATTTTTTTGAATTTGGACTCGATTTCATTTTTTTATGATTTATTCATACCTGAAAATTTACAGACGATATTAATTTCGTAATTAGGAACTGAAATCATTAAAATTGTTTCAACAATTGAAATATTTTTTTTCAAAAAACAAAATCAGGTGTGTTATGTAGAATTTTATCATCGTTAAAATAAGACCAAGGACGTCAAAATCGGTTGAAATTTGTAATGCGCGTAGAGCTTGCAAGTAATTTTTTAAAATTCATTTAAACTTATTTAACTCATCAAGCCCATTTCGGATATTTTTGGAAAATCTGTATATTTTTAAGAATTTAAAATTTTGTTTTTTAACCGAAAAAATATAAATTTTGGTTCAAATTAAAATTTCTACGTTTATGCACTAGCTATTGTACGTATTAAGATCCCCTAAAACTTTTAGCCCGATCGGTTTTGCGGTTTTGGAGAAATCGATTTTTTGACCGATAAAAAGGTATGTAACCCATGTATGTATCTAACCCAAACAAACGGTGAACCGTTATCATTTGTATAATTGGCCCAACCATTGGCAAGAGAAGGTGGACCGACTTTGCATAAGTTGAACCAACTTTGGGCCGACCAAAAATTCGCACCTGGACCGTATCTCCACTCGATAAAAATAAAAAAATACCGTTTGTTAGCTTAAGATGTTTAATTAAATTATAGAAATCGATACCATAACGGTTCATTTAATCCAGCATAGAAAATTTTATATTTCAACTTTGGTTAATAGTTTTTCGGGTCGCTGATTACGAATCCAAGGTCCGTTTTTGAAAATTCAAAATGGTAAATCCAATATGGCGGTTATTTATGATTTTTTTTAATTTATCGGATTTGCTTGAAAATCGTTACTCGGGGGTTTTCGGGATCGATGTTCAGGAATCTGATGTCAGTTTTCAAAAATTCAAAATGTCTGAAACAATATGTCAGAAAGATTTTTTAAAAAAATGTAAATGTAAAAAATATTCTATCCTTAATGTGCAAAAAATTTGATGTCAGAATTACAAAATTCAAAATGGCGCATCTATTAAGAAGACAATAAATTTTTTAATTGACCAGATTTGCTTGAAACCTGCTACACGGGGGTTTTTGGGGTCGCTGATTACGAATATGAAGTCAGATTTTCTAAATTCAAAATGTAAATTACAATATGGCGGACATAAAAATAAAACTTGATCGTATTGATTTTAAACTTGTTATATATTATATGTCCGTCATATTGGATCCGCTATTTTAAATTTTGACAAACTGACATCGTATTCGTAATCAGCGACCCCAAAAACCCACGAGTAACAAGTTTCAAACGAATATGATGAATTTTAAAAAATTTGTCCGCCATATTGAATTTTGAAAAATTTGCAAATCTGACATCAAATTCGTAATCAGCGACCCCAAAAACCCCTGAGTAACAAGTTTCCAGCGAATTTAATTCGATTTTCAAAAAGTCGACCACCATATTGGATCCACCATCTTGAATTTTTTGTTCTGGCTCTTAATGTAAATCTTTTTCTTTACTGCATGTGTACATAGTTTTTGGGAAAGAGTTTGATGACCGGAATTACTAAATTAATAATTAAAATGAACTAATTTCTGCTGAGATGTACCGAATCCAATAGATTTTATAATTTTTTAGGATGAGTTATTTCCGTTATTTTTTGATAAATCAAAAAATGGTTTGGTGAGATTGTCTGGCATACTAAGGAGGTCAAATTTTCCATAACAGAAACCGATTTGACGAGGGCCCAAAAAACGGCCTTATTGACCCTCATCCTTTAAATTTGATAATTTTTATATTTTTGCAACAGTCATGAAAATCGATATTTTTATTAAATTAGAATTTTTGTTCTTACTTTAAATGTTACATAATCCGATGGACATTTCATTCTAATAAATTAACAACTACCCAGTCGAAAATCTTACGCTATATGAAGTTCAGTAAAAAGCCTAATTTAAACGTTAGGATAGCTGCTAAGAAAAAGTTAAATAGCAGTAGAAATGCTATCAAGAAGCATGTTATGTCCGATTTTTCGCTTTCTTAACGCTTCCATTATTTTTTATGTCATTCGAGTAATTTGAGATTTTCTTTCCTGTGCTTTCATTAGTCCAAAGTTTGTCATTTTAAATGACGCACTATTTTTTTAACCAATAAAAATGCTTTTGCTTAATTTACACTTCCAAAAGGCTTTCTGGACGCTCTAAGAAAGTTTTGGATTTTCAACTGAGTTTCTTTAAAAAAAATTCTTAAAAATGGATATTTTTTGTCCTCCTGGTATCATACTACTAAGTTTTATTTAAATTCGTTAGATTACCTTGAATTGTGATTAAAAAACCTTCTGAATTGACAGATGTAAAATAAAATATAATAATATAATGCAATAAAAGAAAGAGATAAAATTAAAAAATAATTTTTTCAAAAAATATAGTCAATTTTCGTAGATATTTATAATATAATATATCAATGTACGTAAGTATAAAGCTGTATATGCACAAATATGTTTAAGTTGTGTATATTATTCATTTAAATGCATGATATACTAATATTTATACCAATCTTTTGTGTTAAGTTGCTAAACTCAACTCTAAATAAACTTATACTCTAAATTTCAACATTTGGGACTGATTTCATAATTTCTCGCTTAAACGATCTGCCAGGATTTCAATTCAAACGTAATTTTTGGTCGGAACTTTCCGGCTTTCTGACCACCGTGTAAAATTTTTTTGGGGTAATGGGATAATTGTGTCAGTCAACAGAGTTTCGTTACCTTGATATGGCTTTTCTAATTTCTTTGAAACTTGAAAAATATTCATATAGAAAATTGGATATTATTGCATATTTAATTGCTAAGAATCCATATTTGTGATTTATTGCCTAAAACGTGGTATTATTGGACATTTTACTACTAAAGAAACTGTAAAACTTTTTTATGTCTTAAATACTTTGTAAAATGTTAATCTGTCTAGAACTATTGATAAAATAAAAAAAATATTTAAGGGAACATTCCAGTTCAAAACGGGGAAAACGAAGGCTTTTTTAGGATGTATTTCTAAAAAAAAACCATTACATTTATTCAGAAATTTTTGTTTACATGTTATAAGTAACTTATTGAAGAATATAAAAAAAAATTTTTCACTTGTAGTCCTAGATGGAGGCGATGTACAACATTTTCAAAAAATGTTCATTTTTTCATAGGGGGATAGATTCCGAGATTTCTTCAACAGATAGAGACATAAAATAAAAAACATTTTTCATCACACATGCACGATTTAGTCAGTTTTACGCCCCACCGAGCGAGCTTAAACTCCAGCTTTTCGAGCGGCGTGCGCGGGTGCGTTTAAATTAAAAATTTACACTCTAAGGAGTAAAAACGTGACGTCACACACATGAAACAAATCATTTACATACACTTTTTAGACTTTCGTTGTTGCTGTGCGCATGCTCCATACCGGCGCACGCAGGTCAATGTTTTCTGTGAGACAGTCTGCATGTCTGCTAGATATACTAATCGGGATGTCATTGGCACCGACTCAAAAACCTGAAGTTTAAACTCGCTGGACGGGGCACAAAACTGTCGAAATCGTGCATTCGTGATAAAAAATATGTTGTTCGACATGGGGAAGGACCGATTTATGGAGAGGACTGAATTTTTAGTACTTGACGAGCACTGCAAATCACTCAGCCTTCGGCGCTTGGGCTACGGCTTCGTTCATCTCAGTGCTCGACTCGTGCTAAAAACATTCGCCCTCTCCGTAAATGGGTCTGTCTTCCCCATGTTAAGCAATATGCTATAAACTTTTTTTTCCATATTCTTCAATAAGTTATTTATAACATGTAAACAAAAATTTCTGAATAAATGTCATGATTTTTTTAGAAATACATCCTAAAAAAGCCTTCATTTTCCCCATTTTGAACTCGAATGTCCCCTTAAAGAAAATATAAATTACATTTTATTGGAATTTCAAGTAAAAGCTCCCAATACCGCATTTGTGGGGTAATAGGAAAAAATGTAATTAAAAAAAAAATTTTTTTTGCTAATTTAATTTTTTTCTCTTACTTTATAATTAATTATAATTAAAAATAAATAACATAAGGAGGAAAAAATGACCACAACCATACCATGTAAACTCACCACGACCTTACTGTGTAAGCTTACCTTAGCTTTACTGTATCAGCTTACTGTGAGGCGGAAGTTTTAAGTTAAAAAAAAAATTTAATTTTTAATTAAAAACTACAAAAATTGCAAATTGTATTCATATACGTATTTAATTTCAGATTGTATTGGCTTTTTTCGCAACAACAAGTACTCTTTCCTTCAGTGTATTTGAGGAAGAATCTGGCAGAAAGCAAAAGAGTGGATTTTATAAAGGAAAGAGTAAACGAGGCTATTCGAGTTGCTGGAAACATAAGTCCTAAGCCAAAAGTGATGCCATATCTTTGGTACAAATATCAGGATAATTCTGATATTTTCCTTAGTAAAGTTAGTTTATGTTTTATTTAAATACTTTATTAGATTTATCAGTAACTAAAAATACGTAAATCTAATATCATTTTTTAAATTTATTAGCAGAGAAAAATTGTCATAAGATAAAAAAAGGTTACTAATTAAGCTAAGTAGATAATTAAGCAAGCCGTCTGCTCATAATTTGGACTGCTTGCTCTATTATCCCAACGAACTGTTCACTGGAAAAACGGCTTAAGTCGTTTTTAGAAATTTTGTGAAAAATTAAATTTAAGATTCATATTTGAGGCATTATTCGTGAACTGTCTACCGTTTTTGGTCATGTCCTTCGATTGCTTTTATACTTTGTGAACTTACTCCTCCACATGAAAGTAATTTAACCTGCAAGTATTAGATTTTTTCCCCACCCCATTCGTACATTAGTTACAAAGCGTTGAATACACGTATGCACCGTGAAATTCAAAAGTTCATAACTTTTTTTGGTAATATTGCAGAATAAGGACTTTTCTCAATTTTTAAAATTTTTGGTTCATTCCTTGTGGAATATTTTTATTTCATCATAAAAAAGAGAAATTCGGTGGGGGAAGAAAAAAAAGTTAAGTACCGTAAGTCAGAGATGAGAAATTTTGTCTAAAAATGACTTTTTTTAAAAAGAAATATATTTCCAAATAGCTGGTACCCCGCTTTTCATGGAACCCCGCACTCTTACGTATTTTGACACGAATATTACGTAAATTATGTAAAATACATTGTCCGCAGAATATTATTTAATTACTTTCGGTTTAAGGATGTACCTTTATTCAAGAAAAAAACTATATCACTCAGTCATATCTGTTCCCCGTAAAAAATTGTTAAAATTTGGGTTGATTTTGAACTCCGCAAAGGGAACCTCCCCTTAAAGAAATCTTGGCGGGGGGGGGGGGTCGAATATGACAGAAAGTATTTTGCGGACATAGTCAAGTAGGATCCACAACAGTGGCCCAAGTGACAGCGTAAGTTTTTTTGTACGTGTGCCTAATTTAAGTATAAAACTTAAAATTACGTAAAATACGTATTACACTTATGGGTAAAAATTCGTGAACCGTTCCCACCTAAAAAAAAGTTTCAGGATCGGGTTAATACTTTCCTCAATTATAGTCCTAGGATACATGCATTCAATCACCAAAGAGATTTTTCAAAAAAGTGACGGGTTGTCAAGGTACAGGGGTTACAAAATTTCACGTTTCACCGCGCACGGTAATATTCAAATTGCCATAACTTTTACTAGAATGAATCAATTTTAAATTTCTATGAGTGCTTTTCAAAGCATTTTTCATCAGCTTAGCGATAAAAATATTAATTTTAGTAAAAAAAAATTTTTAGTATGAAATTTTTGAATTTTAAAAATATTTTTGAGTTTTTCCTTCAAAACGGCTTTTTTGATATTTTTTTAATTATCATAGTTCGAAAGCTTGCCTTTTTTCCTAAAAATTGATGTATTTCCGAAAGTGGGACAAAAATATTTGAAGTGTTTACAATACTTTTTGTGAACGCGTGCTCTGGGCGTCGAGTATCTGTTGCGTTGTCTGGCGCGCCATATACATATATACGTGATTATAACCATTAAATATATAATTCGACCAATCAACGCGCTCTATACAGTGTTCCCCTCCATTGTACCAAATAAGCGAGCACACTTGAGTCACTGCAGCGAGGTGAAAGATATTCTATTCCTGATCGTCAGACAAAGTAGTCCTTGTGCAGAGAAGTGTCGTTGCTGTTTTTTAGTTTAGTATTCTGCATGATTTGTTTGTATAAATTGTTTTATATTATATAATTATTCATAACCCGTTTTTAAGTGTCTTATCATTTAATTCCTTTCAATATGATTATCACAAATCTTCTTATTCAGATATCAGATTTATATCTGAGAATCTTCAAAAAAATTTATCAACATTCCAGCCATTGCAAAATTATGTTCATTTTGCAGAAAGGAAATGACATCACTTTCTTTAATGTCCCCTTTGCAGGTTTATGTTGATAATGTAAATGAAACGGATGACAATACTTGTGAGCCATCTATTTTCCACGAGAAAGTTGAAAATGAATTTGATTGTGAAAATTCAGGTAAAATGTTATTTAATGATCATGATTCTTCAGAAGATGAGGTATATCCTCCGTTATTATCACAAAATGGATGCAATGATGATTTACATAAGGCAGCAATGGAAGTTTTTGAACAAATTAAAGAAAAATTCAAAAACTCTACAAGCAATGCAGAAAAAATTCTGCTTTTGACTCTTACGCCAAAATCTTGGGGGCGTAGAAGATTAGCAAAAGAATTTGATACATCTGAGCGGCTAGTGAGAAAGGCTAAAATGTTGGTAGCTGAGAGTGGTATCTTAACATCGCCTAAACGGAAAAAAGGTAGAACACTTTCGCCTGAAACCGAATCAGCTGGCTTGTCCAAATTCTCACAGATAAAACCACCTAATTGCGTACTTGCTGAATCTAAAGGTACTCACACAGTTTGCGTATGTGTTTACCATGAAAATGTGAATCTTATGATAGACGCCGTAAATATTCAAGATCTGACTTGCGATACAGATTCTCCGATGATTACTTATCATGACGCTATAATGAAAATAGTATGCAGTAATGCCTCTCCAGATTGCTATTTGGATGAATGCAATTTATGTCCTGGTACAGATCAGCTTATGAATTTTTTAAATACAGCTTTAACAAATCATTACATTCAAAAGTTCGAATTTCAATGCTGGCAACAAACTGATAGAAGTACGCTGCACACTGAAATAGCAGATGCAGAAGATTTCACAGAAAGACTTTGCGAGCGCCTTTACCATTTAAAATCTCATTCCTTCGTAGCCAAAGAACAATCGTCTTTTCTTAAAAATCTGAAGACCAACCTGAAGGACGGAGAATTTATCGTTCAATGTGATTTTGCTAAGAACTAAAAAAACGCAGCACAATCATTTCACTGGAATAATAACCAGGTTACAATTTTTACAACGGCAATGTACTACAAGGATGGTGATAAGTTAGAACATTGCAGTCTAGCTATTTTATCAGATTGTCTCAATTACGATACAGCTGCTGTTTATGGGTTTCAGAAAATTATAATGAAATTTTTAAAAGAAAATTTTGCACCCAAAAAATTGTTCTATTTCACAGATGGAGCTCCACAACAGTTTAAAAACAAGTACAATTTTATAAACCTGATGTATCATGAAACAGATTTTGGTATTCCGTGTGAATGGCACTTTCATGCAACCGCTCACGGAAAAGGACCTGGAGACGGCATTGGGGGAACTTTGAAAAGACTTGCACGCATATCAAGTCTACAAGCATCATCAAAAAATGCGATTTTGACAGCTGATGATCTTTACCAATGGTCAAAGAAAAATTTAACTGAAATAACAGTGTTATTTAGTAGCAAAGAAGATCATGCTGCTTGTGCAGAAGAACTTAAGATTCGTTTCGCTTCATCCAAAACAGTACCCGGTACTCTAAAGTATTATTGTTTTATCCCCACTAAAGATTCAACTTTGATCTTAAAAAAATATTCTGCATCTTCGAAATATGATGTCTTTCCTAAGACTAAGTCTGTAGGGAAAGAAACACGAAAACGCAAGCGTACGACCATGTAAAAGAATTGAACGTCTTTATCATGATTGAGAGAAATGTAAATACTAAAGCGCTAAAAAATTGAATCAGTAATTGTTTTATTTTTAAGAATTTTTGTTTAGTTTTATTACTGTTTGATGTTAAATATTTTTCATTTTAGTTTTTAATTAATTTATTCATGTTTGTTAACAACAACGTAAATAATGGAAAAATTTATATACTTGTAAATATGTGTAAATACGTTCTGGTAATAATAATGTAAATAATGTAAATATGTATATACTTGTAAATATGTGTAAATACGTTCTGGTATACTACTAACATTAATTTACGTAGTACTGATGAGCTTCAATAAAAGCGAAACCAGAGATCTACTTCAAAAGCTAAAGCTTGGAAAAAAGTCAACAATATTAACATTTATGGTCGAATTATATATTTAATAGTTATAATCACGTATATATGTATATGGCGCGCCAGACAACGCAACAGATACTCGACGCGCAGAGCACGCGTTCACAAAAAGTATTGTAAACACTTCAAATATTTTTGTCCCACTTTCGGAAATACATCAATTTTTAAGAAAAAAGGCAAGCTTTCAAATTATGATAATTAAAAAAATATCAAAAATGCCGTTTTGAAAGAAAAACTCAAAAATATTTTTAAAATTCAAAAATTTCATACTAAAAATTTTTTTTTACCAAAATTAATATTTTTATCGCAAAGCTGATGAAAAATGCTTTGAAAAGCACTCATAGAAATTTAAAATTGATTCATTCTAGTAAAAGTTATGGCAATTTGAATATTACCGTGCGCGGTGAAACGTGAAATTTTGTAACCCCTGTACCTTGACAACCCGTCACTTTTTTGAAAAATCTCTTTGGTGATTGAATGCATGTATCCTAGGACTATAATTGAGGAAAGTATTAACCCGATCCTGAAACTTTTTTTTTAGGCGGGAACGGTTCACGAATTTTTACCCTTAAATTAGACACACGTACGAAAAAAACTTACGCGGTCATTTGGGCCGCTGCTGCGGCTCCCATCCGACTTTTTCCGCAAAATACTTTCGGTTATATCCGACTAATAATATTGTGCAACTGCACTTAATACAAAAAACGACAAAGTAATAGAACAATATAATATTCTGACAAGAATGACTCGACTAGACCGCAGTAAAATATCGACTGACTATTATCGACCGCCAAAACTGCCCAAAATCACCGCTGAAAAAGAGAGCGCGCTGACGTTCATCCTTGTCCATCCTTCTCGCTGACGAATTTGGCGGCAACTTGTCTCGAAAAACTGGAACCAACGCTGACAATGAAAACCTTAATACACACACGTGCGAGAATCCAAATCTCAAGACTAGCTATGAACATAGCTATGTTCATAGCACGCTGACACCAAGACGAACAGCTGACGGAACGAGAGGGACAAAACTCTGACTTCACAATATTTAATTTAAGGAACGATTTACATCGTTACAATGTTTGTTAAAAAAAATTAAAGTAGTCGCTTCAAAAAATCACCCCCAAAATTTTTTTTTTTAATTTAAAATTAATTTTCTTTACTTTTTCAGAAAAAAAATTTGAGATTTTCTTTAGAATTGCTTTAACTTTATTTATAACATATCCAAAGCTAATTAAAATGGGTTTAGTAGTTTTCGTGGAAATTAGGTTTTTTTAATTTCCTTCCCCCCTCTATAACTGCCCCGCAAATGCGTATTAAGGGTTCATACTTGCAAAACTTTTTATTCATGGGGGTACCGATATATGGTGCCAATTTGAATTTAATAGCTTTGGGGTCACTTTTTGAATGCTTAACCCCCTATACCGTTTAAGAGTAGTTTTTAAAAAAATTAGCTAAGCTAAATTGATTCCGGCGATTATAAAAATATTGTTAAAAATTGACTAAATCGTTTATTTTCATCAAAAACAAAATTTTGGTTCGAATCTGGACACCCTTTGAAAATCTGCTGAAATTATTAAAAAATGAATTAAAACCACCTCAGATATAGAAAAAAGTAATAATTTTTTTATTTTAAGAACCTTCAGCTGCAAAACAACAATAGAAAATATAATTTATCAGTCACTTTACAATATTCGCCTTGTCAGTACCAAGTGTTTTAAGAACCATATTCGTTTCAGTAACGTTCTTAAAACGATTTTAACACGTTTCATGTCAGCCAAAAATGTTTTATAACACTGATGGAACATTCATGTTTTTAAAATGTTTTAGGACATTATTTGGCGGACATGAAACGTTCTTAAAACATTTTTAGAACAAACATGGTTTTTTGCTGGAATGCAATCTGACACACTTCAAATGCACAGGCCATCTCATTCAATACATTTTATAGAGTTTTCGGCTGTCAATTTATGTCGTAAGACTCTAAACAAAGAATGCAAAAGTCCACGTCTCATCACAAGGCGGAGAATCCCTTACTTTTGCGCGTTTAGACGATGTTTTGGCTGAGTTTGCTTGCCACATTTAGCCTGTAGATTGATTGTAGGATTTTAACTTCTTCTGAGTAGACATGAATAGAAACTATTAATATTAATGAAAAATTAATAATGTTGATATCAACGACGATATTTCACTATTTGTGAAAAAAGAGAAGAGAGATGGCCACAACCGAACCACTTCAAGTGTCCGCAACCGAATTTGTCAATCATATTAAAATGTGGTGGCGGTCGGTATTGAATCACAAAATATAATAATGTGTAAATATGCATTGCACTTACCTTCTCGATTAATCCACATCAACTTTTGTCGGTTTGAAAAATGGTGAAACTTTTGTGATAATCTACTTGTATGAAAAAAAAATTTCTTCAGAGCACAAAACACATTTTCAACACAACACATAATATTTCCTAAATATTTTTGAAAGATTTAAAATATTCCAATGAAAAGTTCTTAAAATATTGTTGGAAACACAAAAATGTCCACCTTTGAGGAAATATTGCCATGTAATTTTCTGAAATATTACACATTAAGATTTCTGCAATATTACACATAAAAACTCCTGTAATATTTAGGAAATATTTGACAGAAAGTAAAATTTTTTGAAAATATGAAATCAATCGGTATTTTCTAAAATCTGCAACACCTTAGGATCCTACAAAATAAAAAACTACTGGGCAACTGTAAAGGCCATAGATACTGAGATTGACCAGTGACCATCATTTAAAGACGTTTATCCACGGAAATACAGACTTGTAGAAAATAATAATTAATTAACAATTAAAATAATATTATTAATTGTACTTTCTGAAAGATGAGATATTAATTTCCAAGAAAAAAATTTAAAACCTGCAAAATTTATTTGTTTATACAATTTGCATAGGGCATAAAAAACTACGTTCGGACATAGCATACACTTGACATTTGTTAGATTTGATTCATTTGTTTATTGTCAAAAGTTACGCAGGGGTGTGCTTTTTTTGTATGCTTTAAAATATGTCATTAACAAAATTTTTTTTGGATGGCTTTTTCAGAGAATGCCTCATACATAATTCAAATATAGTTTTCTATACGACTTTTAAATAAGAATAGTGTTAAACTAAAATTTAAAAAATTATGTTTGCAGAAGGACATAGAGGACGGAATTAGTGAGATCGCTAATCGAGGAGCGGACGGTCTTGTAATCTGGGGCAGTTCATACGATCTTAATAACAGGACCAAGTGCCAAAAGCTAAAGGACTACCTAATTGATATACTAGGACCAGTTATATACAATATCAAGATTACCCAAGAGGAAACGGACATAACCACAACTACAACCAATTATAACTAAATGAATTTATTAATTCATATTAGCAAAAGCTATTAAAAAAATTTAAAATACAGAATTAAGTTTAACTTTTGCTCATTTCTATGTACATTCATGTTTAATTTGTTATAATTTATGTTGATATTGGTTATTAATAAGCATTATTTTTTTATTGACAATTAAATTATTTTATATTATTCAATTTCTACAACCTGTTGAATTTAAAGTTAATAAATGTTTATAAAGGTTAAGTTTTGGTCTGTTGTGACTCCCATAATATTTTCTTTTGTATCTACAAATTTTTAATCCGAATGATTTTTTTAAGCTGTACATGAATTCGATTAATTATAATGTAAACCGCATATTTCACAAATTCCACTGTGCTACTTTAAAATTTAAACAAATTAGGCATATAGTGTGTTAACCTAATTTGGGTACGCTGAATTCAATGGCGTTAGCCGTTTTTCATGATCGGGTGAAATTTTCAACATATTCGCCATTTTTTTTTGTCCATTATTAAAATACAGCATTTTCAATAATCAAAAAGCATAAAATTGACTTAAAACTTGATACTCACAGATTGTTTGGGTCGCTGATTACGAATCCGGTGTCACTTTGCCAAAATTCAAAATGGCGGAATCAATATGGAGAACTTTTTTTTTAATTTTCGAATTTGCTTGATACTCTCTTCTCGGGAGTTTTCGGGGTCGCTGATTTCGAATCCAGTGTCAGTTTTTCAAAATTCAAAATGTGATTTTCAATATGGATGACTTTTTTCAAAAAATCGTTCGATTTCATTGCTACATGAAGCTCTTGCCTACATTTCAAAATATGTAAGTTGGTCTACTAAAAGGAACACGAGCATGACCTCATTTGACAGTCACTTACTGCAATTCAAAATAGCCGATTCACTCGTCGTACGCGCGGACGATGAGCTAAGTGGTCAACAATAAGTTTTTGCATGCACGTAGGAAGAAAAATTGATGTTCTCTTTTTGGCGATTCTGATTAAAAAAACATGCTTTTAAGAAATCCTTAAGTCAGTAACAATAATTTCAAATTTGATATGGTAAATTAATTTTTTACAATATATCGAATTCACTTGTAACTCGTTACGTAATGTTTTGGGGTTCGTTGACACCAGTTTCGTATTTACTCTATCCTTGTTACTGGCGACTAATCTAGGGATTTTTAATAGTACATTGTGCAACGAGAGCGGAAAGAAGCTTCTTTCCGACGAGATTGATTGCTGCTCTCGCTTTGCTCGAGCATTAACTTACAATCTCGTCGTAAAATGTTACTTTCCGCTCGATTCGCATACAATGCTTTGTGCCATATTTACAAAAAAAAAATTTTGTCTAATGTTTGTCTAATTTTGTGTTGTCTAATGTGCATGAAAGTGTGCAGCAATGTGTACTTTGCGGCACACTTTATCAGAATGCAGAAATCAACAACTTTGTGCTGCATTTACGTTAAATAAAAGTAGCGCTTTTCTTGCATGTGTTGTACACATTAATTTACCACCTTACATTTGTTATGGTATATTTAAATTCTCATGTCAAAGATAGCTAAAGTTTTATCATTAACTAATAGTGCAAATTTTCCTGTGTGAATTTATATTTATCAATAATAAAGCAACCTACCTATTACTGATATAAAATTTCCACAATCCCTATTTTATTAAACAACTTTTTTTCTAAAAATTTTAATTATGTGTTACCGATGCTGTACTCTTACTGTATTGAGGTATTTTATTTCCGTTAATTAGCTTTAAAAAAATTTTTTTTACTTGTCACGATAAGAGTGGTAAAACATGACGACGACTTTTAAACTATATAATCAGAATAAATCATTTAATTTTGATGAACCTATGTCAAATTCTTTTATTTTACACTTTCGCCTCCGAGCAGAAATTCGACAACAGATTAAACAAAAAACAATACAGCTGGAAGAAATTCATCAACAATCAAATTATCTCAAAAAAGTTTCTGAACAAATATGTCAGGTTAAAAAAATATCAATATTTCAAATATTTATTTTGTCATTTAATATCAGTGAATTTTGTGTCAATAAAAATAGTTGCAAGTATCAAATTATATATAGACCTACAAAGTACCTGAACTAAGCCCGTCCGTGAGTCGGATTTTCAATTTTTACCATCCACTACATAGATAGTGATTAAAATTGGACGGACGAAAAGATAAAGTGAATACTTCACGCCGACGAAGTCCAACGGAAGTCGTCTTTAATAAAAATCCAATAATTTGAATAAAATCAAATTATTGAATTTTTGTCTTTTTGACCGGTCAGTCCGCACGTGTGGTGCCTGCGCTGTTTAGATTCGGTGGACCCGTAAGTGCATTCTTGTGCGCTACCACTTGACATTTTCGCGCTTTGATAAGTTTGTGCATTTTTCCGCCCGTCGGATAGCAGCTCGACGCCTCGCCATCGTTAGCTTGCGAGGGTATCATAAGCAGTAGAGTAAGTGTTTAAATATTTATCGTTCCTTCTTATTTAACTGTATTATTTTTATATTTTAAAGTTGATATTTCGTTCTGATAAAATAAATGTATTAAAGGGTCTTAATTGTTTTATTGTGTTTTATCCCTTAAATTTATTCTCTAATAACGTAACTTGGCAGTTTCTTTTAAAATAGGATATACGTCCCCATAAAATAAACGGAATTTTTTTTAAATTTCGGCAGCTTGGTGCCTCCAGGACATAAAAATAATAATTTCATAATTAATATTTTTCGGTTCGTAAGAAGCTGATGGTGGCAGCGGTGGAATTTTTCCTTACGTTACTGCCAGCTACGCTATCGGAACAATTGATTTTCATCAATTGTCACCTTAGAGTTTTTCAAACATTTTTTTATTTTGACAAAATTTCATGTTTACTTTTAATTAAAAATTTTTTTAATTATACCTTACTAACATTTCAAGACTAAAAATCAATCATTCTAATTTATTGAGTGTTTGATTTTCTTTTCCTTAAATTGAAAGAAAAGTACATGATGACTTTGTCTTAAAAATAAATTCTGGATTATGGCTCTCCAATTTATGTTGTTGATGATGACGCAATCCTAATTTATGATTCTGGCTCTCCGACCTTGGTCGTTGATGATGACATTATCTGAGACATTGGTTCCGAAAATTCTTTCAGTTAAAAGAAAAGAATAGTTAAAAACATTAATCAATTAATTTCAAACTTCTTTTTGAGAATTGTGTAAGAGAGGATTTTCCGAGGAAAAACCTTTTCAATTTCTAAGTGCTTTCAAAAAGTACGTGACGACCTGTTTGAATTGCGAAAAATTGTGAATTTGGCTCTCCGACCTTGATCGTTGATGATGACTAATTCACACTTTTGATTCTGGCTCTCCGACTATGTCGTTGATGATGACTAATCGAAATTCATAACAGTAACTCTGGAAATTTGTTTCTTTTCGAAATACAAAAATTACTATTATTCCAAAATTTATAAATACTGTTTAAAATTTTCTTTTATAAAATTTTCACTTAAGGTTTTCCCTTTAGGAGAATTATGGCAAAACGAAGTTTAAGAATCATTAAATTGATAATAAAACCAGTTACTCTCCATCGCTGTTGCCGGTACGACACCGCGAGATCGAAAATTCCTATGCTGCATCTGAATAGTTTTCCATAAGGAAAAGCGAGATAGAAAGAAAATACAATTCTCTTTTGTACCTCGTCATATTCAGAAGCGCTGGTCTTAGTACGATCTCTCTGTGAGGAAAGTTTTAACTTGCTGAGTTGATATAAATGTAACGAATTCCTGGCGTGGAATTAATGAAAATCAGTGAAAAGAAAGGAAAATTTTCGATAATGGATATTTCAAAATGTCATCCAGTATAAACGGATTTTCTCCCAATAAAAACCCTAGAGAAAAAAGAGCAGGAAAGAGGTGGAGAAAAATTGCAGGAAAAAGGAGTGCACCCACAATTACAGAAAAAGAACCAGCGACAAGAGTTCCGAGTTGGGAAATTTATTATAACCTTACCGAACCGACATTAAAAATCAGACCCATTAATAAAGTGAAACCTTTGTCCTCAGTTGTCCTCCCTGTTGCAGGTCCAAGTAACCCCCAGGTCCCCCTCCAAAAGCTCGAGTAATTGACCTTGAAAGAGAGGAGGAATTAGCTGGTCGCAGAATAGAACTCTTACATCTTGACGATAGTTCAGACGATTCTGACGAGACCACAGCATATGACAGTGACGTAATAATTCTAAATTAAAAATAATCAATCTAAAATGTCTCCGCCTATCCTGACTGACAAAATATTCAAAGATTTAACACCTACCTCGATGACACCTTGCAACATCCCCTTAGTGCTGGTTTCTAAGAAAACGAATAACCGATTTTGCATCGACTATGATCGACTAAATAAAAATTTTAAATCAAGTACAATCAATTACGATGCAAACAAAATCAGCCAACGCGATAGATTATAATTTTCCGCATGCTCAATCACTCTCTATTCGAAACAGAACATGCCAACATAACTCTTCGACAAATCAGCCAGGACACTACGGCCGCCATGGCATCTGTCCTCGAATGTATGACCCTACAACAGAGTACATACCACATCCCTTTCTTTGACGGAATGAATCCACCCTTAAGAGAATTTCTACAAGATGTAGCAGAACCTGTTACAGAAATTCCCAAGACAAGATTATCATTCAAGGACCTTCTCAACCCCCAGACAGCGAAGGAAGCTCCGAGTCCCTCGCCGAGGAGGAGGTAGATGAGTCAGAAAATAGACTGGATCGGTCAGTCAAATGGTTCAACGATATTATGAAGAACCGTTCCGATCAAACTAACCAATCTCTAACATGGGATAACGAATGGATGGATGGAACCCCTAGGAAAAAGGTCTATGTATCTGATGGAGACAGTGATCATGAATATTTGGAATATCTGAAAACCCTGGACCCATGTCAAGAAAATGACGATCGACAATTCAATGAAAGATTAAAAAAAAATTTAGAACAACTCGACAAGAGTCGCATCGAAAATCGGGACAGTAAATAACCCCCTTCATCGGAACTTGAACTTCTCCCCATTACCACGGTGGATACCCCACTAACGAGCAATTCCTCCTTGACGCGAAAGAGGAGTATAGTCCGCTTTAAAGACATCCCCGAAGTTCTTGAAACCCCTAACTCAGATCGTAACCTTGCCGCAAGTT